AGTAAAACATTCACAAATCTTTTGCAAGTTTGTTGTTTGAGATGTAGAACACAGGGAAAGAGGCTGCATAGAGAGACACTGCTGAGATGCTGAAGGTTATGGCTGTTTACAGGAGTTTGACAGATAAATACAAATTTGTACCTAAATTGTAGGAAGTTGTTTACATCCTTGTATACATCCTTGCTACAACATACCATTAACGCTAGGAACTGTGCATGTAATAGTTCAATTTTAACAAATAAAAATATCAGGTTGGGGCTCACAATCCTCAGGTTCGTCTATTATGGTTGGAGCTGCTTCTCCAACCTTAATAGGAGCTTCTAGCTAAATCAAGCACTGAACTGGAAGAGATTCTGGAAGCTGTCAAATGCTAACTATTTATTTTTTAAATAATTCTCTTGAACATTATTAAAATTAAATTGTAACCACTCTTCTCTTTGTGTCATGTCCTCTGGAAGCCCAAATACAGAAACAGAACAAGCTCTTTGGAAATAGCAGTGTATGGACAGCATTTTAGCTTTCTGTGCTATAACATTATAGCGTCTCTGGCCACGCCCCTTTGCTACACAAGGGTGTATGCGCATGGTAAATGCAGGTAACCTGAAGTGTTTGTGATCCCACTAGCCTGGACATACTTTTTTTGTTGTCCCCAAACTTTGTTTGCTACTCAGTAAAAGCCAATAGCTACGTCCCAAATCGCATACTTATGCACTATTCTATGCCATTTTGTAGTATAAATAGTGTAAGTAGTGCGTTCACACTGAAAACTCTAAAAATAATAAGTGCACTTTAATTACCCGGATGATGCACTCATTCAGCCGCTAAAATGAAGTGTGTAATGATGGACACTTCACGCACTCAACGACCGCAGGTTTGCTTACATAGCGGAAGGGGCGGAGCTATCGGACGCACATGTTGAATAACTTTATTTAATTTGGATGGTGAAAGCAAAATTCTTTTACGAGAGTGATTATAGCGCCTCCCGATAGTGATTGCGGCAACACTCACGGCAGGTATTATTTGATAATTCGGCCGTTTACTTCACTGATTTGGCAACCGTCAAACGTCATCAGGGAAACGGTTTAAATTTCCGCTTAGTAAAAAAAACATTAGTGTGCCATTTGGGATGCCACTACATACATATACTACCCTGTTGAGTGTGTAAGTGCATAAGTACATAGTGCATGAGTGCATAGTGTAGAGTGTGCCATTTGGGACGCAGCTAATGTCTCCTTTGCATTCAACTTTGAGCGTATTACATTCAGAGATGTTGTTTATGTTCACAGAGCCACAGTACACATAAACCAGAGTTAAAAATATTATATCATAGTAGACCACCCCTTTAAGGCAATAGGTTTTCTTAAAAAATAAATAAATAAATAAATAAATAAATAAAAATCCAAGATAACTAATCTTTTTTTTTTTTTTTTTTTTTTTAACATTATACTTTTTATCGACCACCCATCAAATTTTCCTGAGTGTATTCACAATATGAGCTTGAGATGTGTTTACTACAGTGAGGGAGAATGTGTGTTATATTGTTCATCAAATGGTATTCATTTTAATACTGGAGGCTAAGATTACATTCGTGCGATCAAACTGCAAGACTGACTACAGTTGTGGATTTGTTGTAATTAAAGCACCTTATAAGACATCAGTCAGAAGCCATGGGTATTCATTTTGTTTTGACTGTATGTTTTTATTTACTGCTTACAGATAAATCCCTTTATGAATCACGCAGGACCAGGATCTTGTATTCGGAGTATTACAGACTGTTAGGAAACCCAATCTTATATAAGACATTTCTTTGAGTGAATTTAGCCAAATCATTTTGATGACAGACTTTGGCTCAAGCATTTCTGAAAGACTTAAACAACATTGGAGATGGTGTGTATTCAGATTGGTCTCCTGGTTAAAATGAGTTCATGCCATGTCTTAATTACTGTAATTATGAGACTCCAACTTGTGAAAAGAGTTCAGACACTCGTGTAATTTGTAATTACAACTAATAAACTGGGAATTTCTCAGAGCTCCGACTTGCAGAGCTCTTACAGTTGCAGATTAAAGCTGAACATGCCATGTCTATACAATTTTAATCACAAGTTTCCAAATTGTCACATCGTTTTAGAACTTGTAATTACAGTTCGTCTTTTGCTTTTCATTGTAAAATGACAGCAATGATGAAATAAATGTAGACCTACCATATGGATCAACAGAGGTGGTCATTTTAACATTCAGATGTCAGATTTGTAAATTTAATTACTTTAACATAAAACCCATATAACTATAATACCCTGACTTTACTTAAATGTGTGTATATTTTATGCTAACATTGTCATTTTATTAAAATTATTTAAAAATACACACAAAAGTGTTCCTGGGTATTCCTATCTCGATGGCCATAACTGTCATATTGACAACATGCATTTTAGCATCCAGTACACAACTTAAAGGTGCAGCAGGTGATTGTCTTCAGAAACATTTATTTGTTTTTCTAGTTGAAAGTCTCTTCACAGTCCAATTGTAATGATTAAAGTGAATGATCTAAATGTGTTTATATGTATTTTTATAGTCGGGGCATCCAACATTATGCACAAAAACACAGCTAAAGAGAGCATGGTGAAAAACTCATGACATTATTATTTTTTTCAATTTATTGTTATTTTAGAAGAACTATGCTTTCCACAAGCTAAACCATTCTCTCAGTTCATGAATTTTGATTATGCAATTTTAATAAGATAATATGAACTTTATTCCGCTTAGCAAAACAGTTTAGTCTCAGCATAATGCTAACAGCTCAACATAATAGCTAGATTATATAAAGGTTGTCATAAAAAGACACAAAAGGTCACAGCTCGTTGGGCCGTTTCAACAGAAGTGTAAAATGTTAACATTGCCTGAGCCTAACGGGCACATTGTTGCAGCTTGTGAATATATCTGGGGTTGTGAATCGGCTTTGCTATCTGTAATTGGTGTCAATTGGTGGTGAACTGTTCACAGAATGGAAAGAATGGCTGGAGCTGGCAAAATGCTAATTCTCCGAGATTCATTCTCATTCTGAACACGAGCCGCTGTGTCTCTTTCCCCCGCAGTACTGCACGCAGCCACACACAGAGATGAAACAAGAAAAGTTGCATGCCGATAATTGTGTATCTCCTCCAGAGTCAGCAAGGTGCTTCCCACAGTTTTCCATAATTACTGTAACATAACTCTTCCAGAACGAAAGGTAAATGCCTAAAATAGAATAGACTCGCTCCGGCCCTTACACGCCGTCTCAGTGACTTTAATGAGGATTCCAGCTTTTTCCTGGTAATTAGTTTCGATGGGGTGAGCAAAGAGAGTGCAGCGGTGACACAGCAGAATGAAGCCAACATTCTACATGGAGGAAATGGGATGTTTAACATGCTTTAATAGAGCAGTAACTAAACCTAGAAAGAAGAAATAAATAAAAATAGAAAATAAAGAAAAAATATATTCTGGACTGATCTACTTAAGACAGATTTTTCCTGTAGGCGGATTTATTTTTATTTTACTGTAATGCCTTTTTTTTATATTTTTTTTTTTCAAATGTACTTTTTTATTTTTCTATAATTTATTTTGTATATTAAGTTGATGAAAAATAACGTTGACAGCATTGCACTAGTCTTGTGAAGTATACACACAGTTATCTTCATTTTTGGAAATCTGCCCTCTAAAAAATACTGTTATACAAAACAAAACAAAAAGTAACGCACCAATTTGCATTAACATATAATTTCGACAACATCTAACTTCAATTATCTGAAGTTCAGATAACAAACTTCATCATGTTAGCCAAATGTTTTCCTCTTCAATCAGAGACATTTTACATAGTAAAAACCTCAAATTTCTAAGTCCAGTACTCAAAAAAAAAAAAAAAAGTGGTTTCAATTAGGTTTATTTTTTATTAAAATTGAAAACAAACCCAGTGTTATGTACACTCAATATATATATATATATATATATATATATATATATATATATATATATATATATATATATATATATATATATGACCAATATTAAACGAGTAGCAGTGCAATATGGCTGTATATCGGCACTGGTGGGAGGCGTGCATTGCCTTAGTGCCCCCACCAGTGCCGATATACAGCCATATTGCACTGCTACGAGTGTGATATTGCATTTATACAACAGTTTGATGGCATAATTGTGTATATAAAAACAAAATCAAACATGGAGAGTCTCAAAAACACTTTTGTATGAGGAACTACTTTCTTCCGGATTCAAATCATAATCTGACAGTTAAACAGCTGAGCAAGCATCTTTTAAACTTTAAATCTGTAGTGTCTGCTTTTTGCTGGCTGTATGTGGGCGGAGTAATTCACAAAGGGTAAAGAGCCTGTACGGGTGCTGATATTACTTAAATATATCAGGGCTATCAGCCAATCAGATTCGAGAACCAGACAGAACTGTTGTATGTATATATATTTGCTTGTTCTAAATTCTTTAATAAAATAATAAAATAAGCTGGTTCAACACAGTTCTTGAGATTTTATTGGGACATATATATATATATATATATATATATATATATATATATATATATATATATATATATATATATATATATATATATATATATATATATATATATATATATATATGGGGAATTTAAGATTTTCTGAATTTGTTAAGATCTTACTTTTTCCTAACAACACAGACTTAATACATTTTTACTCAAGATTTCATGTTAAACACTAATTAAACAACCTCTCATTATTGTGAATTGACATGTTTATAAATAAATAAACAAAGTAATAAACGGATGATTGTAACTGATTAATCCCCTATGAACAAGTAAACTGCATGGATTTGTGAGTAATCACATAAATGGCAAAATGCCACAGCCTATTATCATTAGTATTTTGACCCATGCATTCCCCAAAAGCCAAGTTAATGTGATTAGCTGTTTGAGCCGATTGTATTTGTATAGTTTAACACATCAGTTTAAAGGGTCTCACAGTGGCCTGCTGTTTCTCTGCACGCTCAGCTGCATCATCCAGTTGTTTCTGCAGAGCTGCCTGGAGTGACTTCATCTCATCCCTGTGAATGAGAGAGAAAAACAAATGGAAAACAGTGAGTGAGAGAGCACAGGGGAATAGTGAACACAATGACCACTCTAGGGCCTACTTTTATCTTAAATGTCTCATATACACATTCTAAACCACACATACTGTCATCCCATTTCTGAACGTGAGCACAACAAAAGATTCACCATATAAACCTGAGTATAAATGACTACATATGCATTAAAATAAATAATAATAAAATAAAAAAGTGATAAGGATAATGATGCTTAGTAATGTCAATGTGTATTTTTTTTTTACCAAATATTATGATATCTTTGAAATAATTTGTCATGTTTGGGCATTCAGGAAAGATTAAGTAACTGTAGGGTCTGTACTCACAACAGCAACAAAATAATGTGCTAAATTGTTTATTAAACATACAGGGCTCTATTTTGACGATCCATGCGCAAAGTGCAAAGCGCAGGACGCAAACGTATTAAGGGTGTGTCAGAGTCCACTTTTGCTAATATAAGGATGGAAAAATCTGCTTGTGCCCCATGTGGTGTAAAACCTGACAGGTGGGTAAATCTGAGCTTGTTTTTAATAAAACAAATAAAAATATGCATATAACAAATAATACTGCTAATAATAAAAACATCACACAAAAGCAAATTGTTATGAATAAACTGAAAAAGCCCCCCCGAGATGAAGAAGGCATGACAGTATGGTTATTATATTCATGTAGGCTAGAAAATAATATGTTTTGTAATATTTTAATCCCTTATATTTATATAATATATTTCCTTATTATATCCTATTTATGTCCTTAACATTTTCATTCTTTTTCATATGTAAAGATACTTGTGTATTTCTGTGCATCCTGTTTGTATTAAGCAATGTGTAAGCGAGGCACATAACTAACGCGCTCTGCGCTGGACAATAGACCAGCTTTGTTCTGGTCTGTAAACAGTCTATTAAAGATTCTCAAAATAGCAACGCGCCAGCAATGCGCCACAACACGCCTCCTTTTTTAGACTAGAACGCCTATGGGCGCACATATGAGCGCAAATGCATTTTGCTATTTAAACACAGTGGAGCAAAACGTCAAAACGACTCTTGCGCCAAGCTGAAACAAGCAAACAACAATTGTGTCGCGCTTTGCACCTCATTGTGCCGGATGTATGATAGGGCCCACAGATTTCTTATACTTATACATTAACTGCACCAGTAAAAAGATCTAAAACAAGTATCCTTTTCTGCTCGCCGATGCTGCATTTATTTGATCAAAAAGTCAATTTTGTGCAATATCATTTCCCTGTGAACTGTTTTTTATATTTATTTTTAAAATGCAATTTATTGATTTTGTGATTATAGACAGTATTGAGTTAATTTTTTTTGTCCAACTATTATGTCCAAAAAAGTAAGACTTTTTAAAACTGCTTTTATTCATCACAGACATGTTAAATCTGTCATAAATGTAAAGGCATGTATAATGTTACAAAAATGTTTAAAATGCTGATTTTTTTATACATTTCTAATTATCAATGATTTCTAAAAAGTACAGTATACAGTATTACTATATTCATTCATTTATTAATTTTCTTTTCAGCTTAGTCCCTTTATTAATCCAGGGTTGCCACAGTGGGATGATCTGCCAACTTATCCAGCACATGTTTTACATAGCGGATACCCTTCCAGCTGCAACCTATCTCTGGAAAACATCCATACACACTCATTTACTTATTAACTACGGACAACTTCGCCTACCTTATTCACCTATAGAGCAAGTCTTTGGACTGTGGGGGAAACCGGAGCATCCGGAGGAAACCCGTGGGGAGAACATACAAACTCCCCACAGAAATGCCAACTGACTCAGCAGAGGCTTGAACCAGCGACCTTCTTGCTGCGAGGTGACAGCACTACCTACTGCGCATTCGCATTGCTTAATATTACTATATATTATGCTAATTTAAGAAATTATAAATTTAATCAGCATATTAGAATAATTTCAAAATGTCCATCTGACATAAAAATTAGAAACATTTCACAATAAATATGTTTCATTATATTTTTGAACAAAAGCAGCTTAAAAAACAATGAGCAGAATAATGTTTACTAATTTTAATCAAATAGTCTGTCAAAGTTACCAATAGTAATTTAGTTTCATTTCTATAATAAATATGTAATATCAAATACGGTTTTGTCTAAATATTATGCTCATATTGTTCATATTAGCATAATTCTGCCCAAAGGCATAAAGCAGATAAAGCTTCAGTGTTATATATAGTATTATCACCATGGTGTGGATACATTGGTTGTTTAGAAAGTTACAAAAAAGAACCGTTTGCTTAAGTTATGCTCTGATCAAACTACTTGATCATCCATATTGTCATAATCTGACTTGAATTTAAACATTCTTTAAAGCCAGTTCGATTGTTGGTTGTTTATGTTAACAATTATACTGGAAGTGCTAAAAGCTGAAACATATGAGTATGATAAAGAAATTTATGTTTGATGTGTTTGGCCAATCAACACCCTCCACGCAGCTGGCCAATCAAAGCACTCTCAATCTGAGTGTGACGTGGCTGGGAATCGGCACCTCTAAGTCCGAGCCCATGGTGCTCCACCAGAAAAAGGTAGCTTGCCATCTGCTGGTTGGAGAAAAGTCCTTACCCAAGGTGGAGGAGTTCAAGTATCTTTTTTTTTTTTTTTTTATGAGTGAGGGAAGGAAGGAACATGAGATTGACAGGCAGATTGGTGTAACGGCAGCAGGAATGCGGTTGATGTACTGGTCCGTTGTGGTAAAGAAGGAGCTGAGCCAAAAGGCAAAGCTCTCGATTTACCGGTCAATCTACGTTCCTACTCTCACCTATGGTCATAAGCTTTGGGTCATGACCGAAAGGACAAGATCTTGGATATAAGCGGCCAAAATATCTTTCCTTCACAGGATGGCAGGGTGCACCCTTATAGACAGGGTGAGGAGCTCTGTCTCCCCGGAGGAGCTCGGAGTAGAGCCGCTGCTCCTCCACATCGAGAGAAGTCAGCTGAGGTTGAAATGTGTCATCTGTTTCGGATGAGTACTACCTAGGGAGGTGTTCCAGGCATGTCCCACTGGGAGGAGGCCTCGGGGAAGACCCAGGACACGCTGAAGGGACTATGTCTCTCGGCTAGCCTGGGAATGCATCGGGATTCCCCCAGAGCAGCTTGAGGAAGTGTATGGGGAGAGGGAAGTCTGGGGTTCTCTTCTAAGACTGCTGCCCCTGGGACCCGGCCCCGGAAAAGCGGTAGAAAATAAATAAATGAATGAATGAATGAACCCGATAAACGAAATAAAGACTTTAAATCAATACATTACTGAGTGATAAAACAGTACACTGTATCGTATTATGTTTAAGATTTGCTCAAACTCTAAGTTATTTTGGTTTAAGAATGAGGAATTATGTGAATAGATCCTCTCAAATCCAAATTAATAAGGCTAAAATCTAATTTCAGCAATATTACATTTACTATAATTTGGGGATTGTTCCTCACTAAATGCTCTGCAGGATAACAAACAAACATTTTATTTGGCCATTCAAACAGTCTTAAGGAAAACAGACTATAATGAAATAAATAACTGGAGATAAATAAGCTAGAGGAGAGGGCATAACTGCTGTAAACTTTAACTTTTTGTCCCTGTGGTGAAAACTTACCAAACTTTGCATGCATATCTGTGGCTAATTGCATTCTCTGTAATTTTAGAATGGATGGGATGTATGGTTGCTAAGCAACTAGTAGATAAATTTGCAATATTCATAACATCGGCCCTACTACACTGTTTGAGCTCAAGACTTAATATTTCACATGAGACTCTCTTATCTCATGGTGAAAGGATTGCCTCAAGGACCAAGTTTTGGGATTAAGATGTTTTTTTTTTTTTTTTTTTTTTTTTTTTGACCAAAGATTGGAATGCTCATCCAATTGACCCAATGAGATTTTAACCTGCCATTTTGGGGAGTGGCTTTTATATGCTTGCAAAATCTATTTTCATAGATCTATGAACCAAAATGTTTGAGTGTCAGAGCAACTTAATCTTTACAAAAGGGCACTAAAGGTACATAACAGCCACAAGGGCTGTACTCAGGAGCACTTTCTAAATCATGAAATGACAAAAAGCACAGCCTAAACTTCTGTTGCCTTAATACACTTAGACATGTGAAGGTCACGTGACTACAAGACTGTATCAGGAACACCATTTGGGTCAAGGCCTACAGTAAGTCCATTTTGTTTTCTTTAGGATGTTTTCTTATTCCTGCTGGATTCCATTAATTGCTGCTGGCAGCTCCATTTCAATTTTATTTTTAGTTTAATGAGACAAAAGGGCTCACTACTTATCACTCATCAACTGGCTCATTTATAGCAGCTTGTGAATTATAATACAGAAAAATCAAACATAATAAACTAGCATGTTAGCAAAAGCGAGAATGCTTTCATTTCACGCTATTATATTATTTATACAGACATTTTAGTAAAAGAAAGTTTATTAATTCATTCACTTTCTTTTCAGCTTATTCCCTTTGTTAATCTGGATTCGCCACAGCGGAATAAACTGCTAACTTATCCAGCATATGTTTTACGCAGCGGATGCCTTTCCAGCTGCAACCCATCACTGAGAAACATCTCATTCACACACATAAACTACCGACAATTTTATCTTACCCAATTCACCTGTGCCGCATGTCTTTTGACTTATGAGGGAAACCGAAGCACCCGGAGGAAACGCACACGATCACGGGGAAAACATGCAAACTTTACACAGAAATGCCAACTGACCCAGCCAGGGCTTGAACCAGTGACCTTCTTGCTGTGAGGCGACAGCACTACCTACTGCACCACCGTGTCGCCAGTGAAAGAAAATGGAATTAATAATCAACATAATTCCAAAATTGTTCTGTATTTAATATATTTTGATTTGCAGAATCTCTCCAGCCGTCTATTTAGAGTTGTTCAGCCAAGACTCATTAGGAAAATGTGCCTGTGGAAAAATCTTTGCAA